GTGCTGGGTTTACAGGAGCGAGCTGTCACGCTCCGTTCCATAACGCTAGTTTAGCAAAAGATTAAAGCACGTCTCTACACATAAAAACTCTTCTTCCTCCCTCCGTCCCTCCTTCCTCCCCTGCCTCCCTCCTTCTCTCCCTCTCTCCCTCCCTGTCTTTCCTTTCTTTCTTTTCTTCCTTTCTTTCCTCTCCTTTCTGAAAGGGTCTTGCCATTCTTGGGTAACTAGGACTGCAGGCATGCGCCACGGCGCCTGGCTCAACAACTTTCTTCTAAGTCTGGACATATTTTGGTAAAAACGAAATCTTTAATGAAGCTTCTAAAAGCCGTATTGTACTTAATTTTACGTAAACATAGAAAGTTCAGGAAGGCAGGCGTTTCTGCCATGGCTGTGTGACCTTACGCAGGTCCCGGCTTTCCCTGGGCTGAGCTTCGCGGACTGGAAAGGAGGAGCTCGGCCCTCTCCAGCCCCGGCACCCCGACCGCGTCCAGGAAGGGGGAGGCCGACGGCGGAGGCCCCTCCCACAGCTGCCAGACCGACGGCGGAGGCTGCCGCTTTAACTCCTCCCACAGCCGCCTCTGCCGCCTCTTCTTTGCTTTTCTCCCTCACCTTCCCTTGCTAACGGCCCGGGGTCGGGCCCCGGCTCTGCTGCTTGTGTGCAGCTTCGTTCCAGCCTTTTAGTCTCTCAAGGGCATCAGTTTCCGCGTCCTGAAACGGGGCCGAGGAATCGTGAGGACGTCGCTGTGTCGGGAGTTGAGCCGCGAGGCCCGACTGCGCGTTCATGGTGGCCTCTCCCCGCAGGCCGAGGTGGAGGCGCGTCCTCAGCTTGCCACCCTCCTCCGGTGCCCGTTGCTGGATGCGGAGCGCGATGATGACTGGAGGAGAGAAACCACCGTCCCTTTCCGGGAGCGTCTGGACGGGAGAGGAAGTGCGCGATGGCGGGACCCGGGGTGGGCCCGGGTGGGCCTCGGTGCCCGGCGTCAAGGGTCTGGGGTCCGAGCCGCTCGGTCGGTGCCAGTCTTCGTGCCCTGCAGCCACGTCCTTCGAACCGGAGGAGCCGCTGGGGCCACCCGCCGAGGTCTGCGACCCACGGCCCGTTCTGCCTCAGGTCAGTTTTCTATTTGGGTTAATGTATTTTTCGGTTCTGAAATTCTCATTTGTTTCTTTTTAGTATTTCACGTATCCGCTGAGATTGTCTCTCCGTTCGCTACAGCAGGGTTTGCTCTGCCCTCCTGGAGCACGTTCCGAAGCGGCTTCCCGCCGTGGGGACCCCGGCACCCGCCCCGTTCGGGACGGCGTGGGCCGCCGGTCCTTTTCCCTGTGCGTGTGAGCGCGGCCTTCTCTGCGGACTGAGCAGTCTTGGGATTGCACCTAGACCTCGTGAAGATGGTGTGAGGAGACTCCGGGTCCTGTCTAAAGCCTGCAGAGAACGTTATTTTTGTTTGTTGATGGGTCCGACAAACTAACTGAGCAGGTAATTGATTTCAGTGCAGACGCCACTGCCTCCCGTAAGGGGTGTCCCCATGTCCGTTCCCTTTTCAAGTCTTTGTGTTGCTCTTGGGATCTGTCCCATGTGTGCACCCACCAGTGGCCGGTCTGGGAGCGGGTGGTTCTTGCCCAGGTTCAGTTCTCAGAGCCTTTGGGGTCCGTGCATGTGCAGTCGAGGGCGGAGCCCAGGAGCCCACGTGCAGCTTATGGGACCGATGCCCTGAGCTGCCTGCTTATCCTCAGTCCCTTTGACACTTTCTGGCTTTTGGGCCACTCCGCCCGCCCCCACCCCCATTCCCCCACCGTTTCTGCTTCTTACCCCAGCCCCACCCCATTCCCTCACCGTTTCTGGTTCTTACCCCAGCCCCACCCCCATTCCCTCACCCTTTCTGGTTCTTACCCCCCCAACCCCATTTCCCTCACCGTTTCTGGTTCTTACCCCAGCCCTACCCCCATTCCCCCACCCTTTCTGCTTCTTACCCCCCCCCCCCATTCCCCCACCCTTTCTGGTTCTCTGGCTTGAAGGCCTGGGCTTTGCTTTCCCTGCTCTACCACACACTCCCCGGGACTTCAGCTGCCTCTGGGCCAACAAAGAGAAGATAGAAACAGAAAAAAAGTCAATGGGAATTTCCCCCATACTTTTGGGAGCGCAAATCCTTAGGTGAAAGTGAAGGGTTCCAGGTGCCTGTCCAGCTGTTGTGGCAGGTTTGCTGTAAACTAGATACCCACTGACTGATATCAGCTGCGGGATGCCCTGTGGGTCATCCAGAGGGCAGGCGTGGGCCTAACACTGAGGCTGGTCACAGCCCGTGGCCCCTTCCCACCGACAAGAGCGTCGGCTCCGCGAGGACAGGCCTTGTTGCTTTGTTCCCGGATGTATCTCCAAGTTCCTGAAACAGCGCCTGCCACGTGGTAGGCGCTCCGCAGTCACGTGCTGAGCTTGGTGAACTGCTGTTTCTGGTAATAGGAGCCTCCACTGATTACCGTGTACAGAGGCGCTAAGCCTGTGACGCTCAGTGTTCCCTTTCTACAGCAAATATTTGCAACATCTTTATTGTGCTGAAGTGAAATTCCAAAGACCATAGACTCTGTTCACATGCCGTATGTAAGCCCCAGCGTGGTGTCTGTGTGAATGTGGGTGTGCGCCCGCACCCCTCCTCCAGAACTAAGACCCTTCCTCCCAGCTGCAGGAGTGTTAGCTGCTCACGGCTCACAGCTGAGGCCCCAGAGAGCCACGTTTTTGTCCCTGGGGAGGGGAGGCACACGTCCAGTGACTGGTGGAGTCTGCACTCCTGCCTCACTTTGGGACATCTCTGAAGGCCACCCCAGGCCTGACCTGAGGGACCAGCTGCACCCTCTGCTATGACATCACAGCTCAACTTCTCCCTCTGCTCCATGCTGTATTATCTGCCCCTCACAGGTGTTATTGAGAGCACATTCCAGCTCACTACAGGTACACACACCTCCCTCTCAAGAGTGTTTCCTGGGGAACTTGACCCAAGATCATGCCCTAAGTGTATTCAAAAGAGAGATAAGGGGCGTGGTGGCTCACGCCTGTAATCCCAGCACTTTGGGAGGCCAAGGCAGGCGGATCACTTGAGGTCAGGAGTTTGAGACCAGCCTAGCCAATGTGGTGAAACCCTGTCTCTTAAGAAAAATATAAAAATTAGCTGGATGTGCCTGTAATCCCAGCTACTTGGGAGGCTGCGGCAGGAGAATCACTTGAACCCGGGAGGTGGAGGTTACAGTGAACTGAGATGGAAAAAGAAAGAGGAGGATAGTTGATAATGAAGCATGTTCTCTGCGCATCCCACTGAGGCGTGACTGCACTAGGACCTCAGCACCATTTCTCAGGCCCCACCTCAGACCAACGGGACAGGAATCCGAGCCTTGGCAGGCCCCAGGGCATCTGTGTGCAGTGGAGCGTGAGGAGCATTTCACTGGGAGGTGTTTCAAGGGCCGGATGCTCGTGTCTAAGTGACTGTGTGACCCACGAGTGCTGACACACGAGTGTCACATGGCCTCTCAGACACCACAAGTGGCCCTGCTGTCAGCGATAAGATTTTCCACGTCAGTGAAGTGTCAGACAGAACACATCAGGACACTTTCTCAACTTGCACAGTGGTTGCGTTCCTGGAAAATTCAGTTTGTCTTAAAATTGTGCAAAAAGCGATTTTGTCAGGACTCGTGACATCTCATTGGCTTCAGTGCCCCACGGTGCTGCCCGTCCTGCCGGGAGCCTCTGGCTTGGAGACAGCTGAAAACATCCCCAGAACCTCCCAAACGGTCCCCTAGGGGTCAGCACTGTCCTCACTGAGAGCGACTGGTCTACCAGAGAAAACTTTACCAATCCTCCTAATAAGCCTGAGAAGTCTTATCTTCTCTCTCTTCAGCTAAGAAAACCACGTTCAGAGAAGTTCCGGAGTTTGTCCAGGGTCACACAGCTGGTCAGCAGGGTGGCAAGCAAGATCTGGACCCCGGTCTTCCTGTCACCAGAGCCCATGCTTCCTGCCACGTGTGCCTGGCAGGTGTCTGCAGGTTCTCCAGAGTTGCAAGGTCACTAGGCCCTGGCCAGGCGTATTTATTTATCTATTTGAGATGGAGTCCTGCTCTGTTGCCCAGGCTGGAGTGTGATGGCACGATCTTGGCTCCACTGCAACCTCCGCCTCCTGGGTTCAAGCGATTCTTCTGCCTCGGCCTCCTGACTGGCTGGGACTGCAGGCATGCGCCACCATGTCTTGCTAATTTTTGGATTTTTATTTTTATTTTATTTTATTTTATTTTTTTGAGACGGAGTTTCGCTCTTGTTACCCAGGCTGGAGTGCAATGGCGCGATCTCGGCTCACCGCAACCTCCGCCTCCTGGGTTCAGGCAATTCTCCTGCCTCAGCCTCCTGAGTAGCTGGGATTACAGGCGCGTGCCACCATGCCCAGTTGATTTTTTGTATTTTTAGTAGAGACGGGGTTTCACCATGTTGACCAGGATGGTCTTGATCTCTTGACCTCGTGATCCACCTGCCTCGGCCTCCCAAAGTGCTGGGATTACAGGCTTGAGCCACCGCGCCCGGCTATTTAATTTTTGGATTTTTAGTAGAGGAGGGGTTTCATTATGTTGGCCAGGCTGGTCTCGAACTCCTGACCTCAGCCTCCCAAAGTGCTGGGATTACAGGCATGAGCCACTGTGTCCGGCCAGCCAGGTTTATTTATAACAGAAAAGAATAAACTTTATTTAGGGCCCGTCCTCCCACGTGGACACAGGCTATAAGAGCTTGAGACGAAGAGGCAGCCTGGCCTCCCTGGGGAACCGCACCTTAATGGCCCCATGTTCTCAGAGCCTGGGCTGGCAGATGGAACCACAGCCCCAGGCCCCGTTCCTCAGGTGGCACCCCCAAGTATCTGTCCAAGCCCACACCACAAACATCCACCAGGAGCCCAGCAGGCCTAGACTGGGGAGGCACCACTAAGTGTCTCTAGGGGTCCTTCCCACCCCTACGGTGGCCCCGGGGGAGCAGTATGCCTCAGAATCCTGCGCAGATGCTGAGCTGGCAGCAAATAGACTTCCTCACCCCCGACGGCCCTCTGGGTTCCACGGCCCCATCCGTGAACACCCACGTCACATCCTGCTTTGATGTGGATACAGACTCCCGTGTTCTCTGCTGGGTCTCTGTCCTCACACTCGGGAGCTCCGTGAGCTCAGGGAACAGGTGTCATGCCCCTGCTTCCCTCCCCACCCACACCTTCACTGCCACCTGGGTGGCCTACAGTCGGGAGCCAGTGACCATGAGGACTTGAAAGAGGACAGCCTGAGAACGCCCGCACACACACCCACTGCCTGCCGAGGGCGCCACTGAGGCAGCTGCCCGTGGGCTCCTGTATCTCAGAACAACCCCAGGGAATCCTGGGAACCCCTTCGGACAGATGGGGAGACCGAGATTGAGAGAGAGACGGAAGTTTCCGAAATTCGAGTTCGTGGCTCATCTGACTCCAGATGCTTCTCAACCATGGCTGCCCGTCAGGTTCACCGGGAGGGCCAAACGGTGCTGGTGCCTAGGTTCACTCCCAGAGTCGGATTTCACTGGTCCGGGACAGTCAGACATCATTTTTTTTTTTTTTTTTTTTTTTTTGAGACAGAATCTCGCCTTGCCCAGGCTGGAGTGCAGTGGCGCAATCTCGGCTCACTGCAACCTCCGCCTCCTGGGTTCAGGCAGTTCTCCTGCTTTAGCCTCCTGAGTAGCTGGGATTACAGGCACGCGCCACCACGCCTGGCTAATGTTTTTGTACTTTTAGTAGAGAAGGGGTTCACCGTATTAGCCAGGGTGGTCTCGATTTCCTGACCTCGCGATCCACCTGCCTCGGCCTCCCAAAGTGCTGGGTTTACATGCGTGAGCACCGTGCCTGGCAAATCTTCATATAAGCGTGCTCAAATCTTGCATGCGATTATCATACTAAAGGAAAATCGGCTGGGCGCGATGGCTCACGCCTGTGATCCCAGCACTTTGGGAGGCCGAGGCGGGTGGATCACGAGGTCAAGAGATTGAGACCATCCTGGTCAACATGGTGAAACCCCATCTCTACTAAAAATACAAAAAAAAATTAGCTGGGCATGGTGGCGCACGCCTGTAGTCCCAGCTACTAGGGAGGCTGAGGCAGGAGAATTGCTTGAACCCAGGAGGCAGAGATTGTGGTGAGCCGAGATCGCGCCATTGCACTCCAGCCTAGGTAACAAGAGTGAAACTCCGTCTCAAAAAAAAAAAAAAAAAAGAAAAGAAAAAAAAGAAAATCATCCACTGTTTATAGGAAAGTCACGTCTAACTGGGTATTCTCCACTTTTGTTTCCTGGATCTGGCTTCCTCTTCCTCTCTCAGGCTCTCCTCCTCCCTCCCTCCCAGATCACCCCTGACGCTGCAGATTTTGGCCATTCTATAAGCTGGAGCAATTCTGGTCTCCCCCGGCCTCACCCCAAAACTCAGCCCAGATCCACGCCTCCGTTTCTTAATCCGGTGAGGACATCTGGTCCTTTATGAGTTCAGGGCACGCACAGTTGATGTTTCTGTGTTTAATCCCTGTAACCTGTTCCCTTTGTCCCCTCTGTTGCTGGTAAGGAAGTCGCATCAAGCACAGAAAGGTTCTCGGGCTGACATGAGGGTGAACAGGCCTGAAGTGCCTTGGCAGCATTGGTGACGTGGAAAGAAAGAATGTGCCCAAGAGGCCGGCCAAACGGGAACGAGAAGGGGGCCTGGTGGCTGCTCCCATGAGACAGCCTGGTGGGAGGGCAGGGGGCCCTGGACACGGGACCCAGCTCCCACCTCGAAGAGGCCTGGGAAACCGTTCCTGCCAGCAGCCCAGCCTTGCCCTTCAGGTAGAATTAAGGAGGGTGAGGGAAAACACGTCTGTGGTCAAAGGAATTTGGAAAACTTTGTGTAAGCTGGTGTTCGTCTCAGAGCTTTGACTAGGCCGATGCACAGTGTGAGTTTCCAGAAGCTGGTGAGTGAGCAGCTTCTGCAGGCTTATTACCCAGTCTTCGTTATTTGGAAGGCTGCTCCTGCAAGCGCGCTCTGCTTGGGGAAGCACAGCCTCTCACCCTTCTCTCCCCAGTTCTGTTTCTAGGCTCGGCAAGCTCTCCAGTCTGAGTCTTCAGATACCCAGAAGCTGTGAAGGGGACGCCCTGTCACCAGACACAATCCTTGCAAAGGGTCAGCCTCCGTGGAAGATGGACAGACCCACATGGGGAGGACAACCCACTCGGCACATGAATTCAGCCAGCCTGGGGTTCCACTCTCCGCTTTAAATGAACGAGCCGGCCCTCGGGTGTGTGTCCGTTGTCCTCCCGTGGGTCTGGCCAGCAGGCATCGGTTTCTGAGGGCCTGGCTGTGTCTAGGGCACAGCTGAGACTCACTCCTGGCCTACCGGGCTGCAAGGGTGGGCCTGGTCAAACTGACCGTCCATGGAGCATCGCCCGACTCTAGAATTGCAGGCATTTATGAAACGTGGATCTTTCCTGAATGTTAAATTTGCTGAGGCCAAAGGGGTCAACCATGTCAGCAACGGGCAGAGGCCAGAGGTGCACGCGGAGGAGAGACGTGTGGAGAAGAGGAGCGAGGGACGGGGGGGGGGGGGCGGGGGCGCGGGAGTCTGGCACGGGCAGGCGGGACAGGTGCCCAGTGCGGGGGGGCAGTGGGGGGGGTACCGTGTGGGGAACAGGGTGTGGGAAGAAGCAGGCTGCCGTGCAGGCTGACCCCAGGAGAACCAGCCGGGAGGATGCGAGTCACTGTCCGGGTGGCTGGGAGGTGGCCCGGCTCTGCTGCAGCCCTGGTGGAGGCCATCCCCGGGGGAGCCCCCGTTCTGAGCGCTCACTCCTCGGGAGGAAGGGCCAGCTGCCAGTGAGAGCCCTGCTAGGGTTCTGGGTGGTGGCAGGAAAGCTCTGGGAACCTGGGACTCAGAGCCTCCTGGCCGTTGTCTTCCGAGCTGGATGTCCCTTTCAATGGCCGCTACTGTGGTCCTGCCCCTCTGGCCTGTCCTGGATGCCAAAGGAGGGGGGCTCTTGTGGGCCTGTGAGAAGGGCAAGACCCTTTCTAGAGGACCTGTGTGGCCGCCACTTCTGCCAGGACACCTGTGGTGGCCGATCCCATTTCCCCGGCCTGGCTGGCACCTGCACTCACAGCCGCCCATTCTCCTAGTAGATGGGAGCCGGGACAGGCCAGTCGCCCCCTGCACCCCCTGCACGGCTCTGTCCCCATCCCTGGTTGCTGTCAGGGCCTGTCCCCACCCAGTTCTCAGAGCAGCCCGATTGAAACTGTATTTGGAATAGCCCCTCACTTCCTTGTTCCTCTTGGCACCCGGATCACCTCCGTGCCAGCCCCGAAACACTCACCATGCCAGTGTCCTCGGATCAGGGACCCACCCAGGCAGACTCAGAACGGCATGGTGACCGACCCGCCCGACTTCATTTCACAGACGAGGAAACTGAGCGGCGGAGTGGGGAGGAGCCAGCAAAGGCCGCGCGGCAGTGAGACCGTGCACGTTTGGGGATCGAGGCCGCGCGGCAGTGAGACCTTGCAGGTTTGGGGATCTCCGTGACCTCCCCGACCCGAAGCAGCACCCACGATACAAATCAAAGGTCAAGTCATCCAGCCTCCTGCCTCTAGGTGGTGGATGACAGCTGCCCTTACCCTCCGCTGTGTTCAGGGACCACCCAGCCTCCCAGGCTGCCCACGGGCGAGTCCCACCCTTCCTCCCGGGCCCCCAGCTCCGACAGCACGCTCTCAGACTTTAGATAGGTCATGGGGTAAATGCATCACCTGCACGAGCATCAGGGAAAGGGGAAGAACTTCCCATACACGCCTCTCACAGGGTGTTGCCAAGCCAAAATGAGATTCGGAGGCAGACGTGTAGGCTGCAGGGCCCCACAGGGTTGTGGGGTGTCCCTTATGCTGTGCTGAGGTGCAGGATCTGAGAAGGAAAGAGGACACTGAAGAACTGGGGAAGGGCATCTGGACTCGGGAGGCCACGCCAGCTGTGGGCAGAGATCAGCGAGAGCCCCCAGTGCCCAGAAGCGTCTGTATTTATTAGGTACAAGCAGGGGGCAAGGTCCTGAGTGAGGTCATCATCTATAGGCTTAGTGACAGGGCATACATAATCACGTGAGTCACAAGTGAGGGGACCACCCCATTATGTCACCTGGGCAGAGGGGTGGGCCGTGCGCAGTAGGGGGCCGTGCCCTGCGCCGTAGTAGAGGGTCGTGTACAGAAAAGTGTCCACCCCCATTAGGTCACTGAGGCAAGGAGGTGGGCTGTGTGCAGCAGGTGTCGTGCGCAACACTTCTAATCTGGGGCTGCAGACTTCAGAGGATTTCTAATAGAAGGATATCGTAAGCCAATGCAGTGGGAGCCGACAGACCTGTGCCCTTCTCTAAGGTATTTATGGGAGGATGATTTGAGCTAGCACAGAAATGAGAAAAGACTGACAGGGTGTCCAGCCGCCGTTACTGGTCGCACCAGAGGGTTCTTCTCCCTCGGTTACTTCCAGGATCTCAGGCCCGAGGCCGACTTTCCACAGGAACTGGATGCAAGGCGCTACAGCTCCTTTATCAGGAGGAGAGGCTCTTGCTCCAAGCCTGCCATACAGCGTACGCCCTTTCAGGCAGGGATGCGACCACCTGGGTCTTGGGTTCTTGTCCTGGTCTGGCTGTTTTCCCATGTACTGCTTCTGTTCTGTGACTGCTCCAGGCATTCCTCCTACTATGAACTACTATATGGTTATATAGAAGGATTCTATAAATCAGCATTGAATGTGTCGGTACAGCTCCAACTACAATACCTGTATGATTATATAGAAAGATTATATAGAACTAAGTATGCTAGATATAAGTACTAAGTATGATTATATAAGCTGGATATATGTAAGCAGTGTTATGCTTCAGGCACTACTTCTATAAACTAGTATACGATTATATATAAAGATTATTTAAAGGAAATAGCTGAGTAGTAACACCATAAACTAAGATATCCTTTAGGCACTAATTGTGCCCAATATCTGGACAGTTCTCCTTCTTCGGTGCCCATGGGGGTGTCACCCACACAGACGCACTTGGGGAGGGGCCCGCCAGCCTCTGCTAATGCGAAGGGAAAGGGAGCCTCGTCACACACATCACTGGCTCTGCTCAGGCTGCCGGCTCTGGGGCCACCTTGCCCCATGTGGGCTCTGGCGTTGCTGACCCCAGTGCACTCGTTCCTCTGGCCCTCAGTGCACTCGTCTGACAGAGGGTCTGATGTGCCATCTTTAAGGAAGAGATGGCGGCCTGCTGGCTTGGAGTCAGACCAAGGGGGTCCAAATCCTGCCTGCGCCAGTCTGCTGAATGGCTTTGGGTGCAATCGCTTCTCCTTCCTTAGAAAAAGGCCCAGACCCTTCAGACGGCCAGTAGGACCCCTGAAGTGCCCTCGTCCGGCCACCTGCCTTGGTACCGCTTGGGGAAACAGGTCCCAGCACAGACTTACAGGCTGAGGCTCCGTGGAGGGCGGGGCCCGCCCCATGGCCTGTGCTGAAATCAGCTTCCTCAGGAGATTCCGGTGCCCAGGGAGCTTGGAAACCCGAAGAACCCGACTCTGCCCGGCTGTCCAAGCGTGCCTCACTCATCCTACTGCCTCTGCCCCAATCCCTCTGGACTTCTGTCAGATCCCTGGATGGGCAGAGTGTCTCTCCACCTCAGGCCCTGGCACATGCCACCCTCTGCCCACAGCAGCCGTGCCAGCCTCTGCCTGGCTAACCTCATGCTCCTCCTTTGGCCCCTGGTCAGGCGTCCCTCTGCCAGCCTCTTGCCACCAGCTAAGTCAGTGTCCCTGCTGCATGTCCCTAGATTGTCCCTGCTCTCCCTTCATAATGCTTACCATGTGTTATCTGCTTCCAGACCAGGCTGGTGGCAGCAGGACCTTCCTCCTCACAGCCTTTATTTATGCTTTTAGCTCCACCACCCCCCACCCCCCCCCCGCACAGAAGGCACTTAATAGACATTGTTTCAACAAAAAATGAGCCTTTTAGTTTAATTTTCTCATCTGTGAAACAGGATGTTAACATCTACTTTGTAACGATTCAGGCCAGGCGCAGGGGCTCACGCCTGTAATCCCAGCCTGACAACATGGTGAAACCCTATCTCTAATACGAATACAGAATTCACTGGGTGTGGTGGTGTGTGCCTGTAGTCTCAGCTACTTGGGAGGCTGAGGCAGGAGAATCACTTGAACCCAGGAGGCAGAGGTTGCAGTGAGCCAAGATCGCGCCATTGGACTCCAGCCTGGGCAACAAGAGTGAGACTCTGTCTCAGAAATAAATAAATAAATAAAGTTTCAATGAGTAGAGATAATATATATTTTTTAACCGCTGTAACTTTTTAAAAATTATTTTTTAAAGCCGGGCGCGGTGGCTCAAGCCTGTAATCCCAGCACTTTGGGAGGCCGAGGTGGGTGGATCACGAGGTCGAGAGATCGAGACCATCCTGGTCAACATGGTGAAACCCCGTCTCTACTAAAAGTGCAAAAAATTAGCTGGACATGGTGGCACGTGCCTGTAATCCCAGCTACTCAGGAGGCTGAGGCAGGAGAATTGCCTGAGCCCGGGAGGCGGAGGTTGCGGTGAGCCAAGACCGCGCCATTGCACCCCAGCCTGGGTAACAAGGGCGAAACTCCGTCTCAAAAAAAAAAAAAAAAAAAAAAAAAAATTATTTTTTAATTGACCGAGATGATCTATATTTATAGCATACAACATGGTAGATTTTCTCAAATTTTTAAAATTTTTGTCTGTTTATGAGAGAAACGGGCCTCACTATGCTACCCAGGCTGGTTTTGAACTCCTGGCTTCAAGCAGTCCTCCCACCCTGACCTCCCAAAGTGTTGGGATTATAGGCATGAGCCACCATGCCGGCCAACACGGTGTTGATATATGTGTACATTGTAAAATGACTAAATCAAGCTACTGAACACAGGCATTACCTTTCAAATTTATGGTTTGTGTGTGTGTGGTGAGAACTCTTAAAATCTACTCTGTTAGCCATTTTCAAGTGCATGATATACGAACCATAGTCACCATGAGGTACAATAGACTTTTCAACGGATTCTTCCAGTTTAACTGAAATTCTGTGTCCTTTGACCAACGTCCCCCCAATCCCTCCAGCTTCCAGTGACCAACGTTTTACTCTGTTTCTACTGAGTCTGACATTTTAACATTCTGCATATAAATGAGAACATTTGTTATTTATCACTTAACGTAATGTCCGCCAGTGTTAAAGGCTCAATAGTATTCTATTGTATATCTATTCCATATTTTCTTTATCCACTGATTCACTGATGGACAGTTAGACTGATTCCATATCCTGGCTATTGTGAGTATTACTCCAGTGGACATCGAAGTGCAGATATGTCTTTGACATACTGATTTTAGCTTGTTTATTTTTCTATTGCTGCTGAACAAATTAATGTTTTGTTTTGTTTTTAGGGGCAGAATCTTGTCTGTCACCAAGGCAGAAATGCAGTGGTATGATCATAGCTCACTGCAGCCTCGGACTCCTGGGCTCAAGTGATCCACCTACTTCAGCCTCTGAGTAGCTGGGACCACAGGCATGCATCACCACATCTGGTTAATTTTTTTTCTTTTTTTCTTTTTTTTTGAGCCAGAGTCTCGCTCTGTTGCCCAGGCTGGAGTGCAGTGGCACTATCTCGGCTCACTGCGACCTCCGCCTCCCAGGTTCAAGCAATTCTCCTGCCTTAGCTTCCCAAGTGGCTGGGATTACAGGCGCCCACGACCATGCCTACCTAATATTTTGCATTTTAGTAGAGATGGGATTTCACTGTGTTACTCAGGCTGGTGGTGAACTCCCGAGCTCAAGTGATCCTCCTGACTTGTCTTCCCAAAGGGCTGGGATTACAGGTGTGAGCCACTGCACTCAGCCGACCGCTGTTTCTATATACTTCAGATTCCACCATGTAGTGGGGTTGCTGGATCATATGTTTGTTCTATTTTTAATATTTTGAGGAACCTTCAAACTTTGCCATAACAGCTGTGCTGATGTGTACAAGGGTTCTTCTCTCTTCCCCGCCTCACTTTTCTTTCTGTGAAAAGCCATTCTAACAGGAGTGAGATGATATCTCATTGTGGTTTCTCGTTTGTTTGTTTTTTCTTTTCTTTCCTGTAAAATCAAAAGCAATCCTTGTGGTTTCAATTTGCATTTCCCTGATGGTTGGTGATATGGAGCGTTTTCTCATAAACCTGCTGGCCTTTGTATTTCTTCTTTCGAAAACATCCATTCAAGTCCTTTAGACATTTTTAAATTGAGTAATTTGTCTTCTTGCTATGGAGAGTTGTTTGCACTCCTTACACATTTTGGAAATTAATCTCTTGTCAGAAGCACGGTTTGCAAACACTTTTCTCCCTTTCTGCAGGGGTCTCTTCATTGCTCCCTTGGCTGCGCAGAAGCTTTTTAGTTGATGTCATCCCATTTGTCTGTTTTTGTTGCCTGTGCTTTTGGGGTCTTGTCCAAAAAATTAACTGCCCAGACCAACGTCACGGAGTTTTCTGCTGTGTTTTCTTCTAGTAGTTTTACAGTTTCAGGTCCTACGTTGTCGTTAATGCATTTCTAGCTTGCTTCCGTGTATGGTGTGAGATGAGAGCCTCGTTCATTCTTCCGCCTGTGGGTATCTTTTCCCAGCAGTACTTCTCACCGAGGCTGCCCTTTCCTCTTTGTGTGTTTGACATCTTCGTTGACAATCAATCGACCGTAAATGCGTGTATTTATTTCTGGATTCTCCATTCTGTTCCATTGGTCGATGTGTCTGTTTCGATTATATCGTTCGTAGCAGATTTTGAGAAAGAGAGAGAGCTAATATATTAAGATGCCAAACACGAGAGATGCTCGATGGATGGAAACTTTAAAAGTAACAACAAAGTGACATGACAAGTGAAGCACGTGGCGTGGAAGTCCCTGACCGAGTTCGACGTAGCAAGTGATGGCTCCGGCTCCTGCCCTGAGGCATTCTGGAAGCCTGGACGGGGCCAGCGGGGTCGGAGGTCCACAGGTTCCCAGGCTGCCTGCTGGAGCCACATGTCCTGACTGGGAGCCGGCCTGGAGGAGCAGCGGGGCGGGCGGCAGGCAGGGGCCGTGCAGGGAGGCCGGCTCCTCTCAGCTCACGGCCACAGTAAGTGTCAGCCCCAGGCCAGTTCTCATGGGCACCACGGCTTAGTGGCAACCCACATGACCTGGGCCAACTTGCCTCACCCCACCCGTCGGGGGGCTCCCCAAGGCAGGGGGCTGGGCCTTTTTATTCCTTGGGTGTCTCTGCTGCACCCAGCACAGTGCTGAGAACACTGAAATGAACCTATGGGTTAATGAATAAGCAAAATGGCCTGGCTTGGTGCCTCGGTCCTAGGGTGGGGTTCATATTTTAACGGACCAGGTGGCCTGGGTGTGGGGAGGGTGTCCTCAGAAGAGGCAGGGGCTCCACACTTAGTGGTAGAGGGGGTTAAGGAACTGGGGGTGGGGATGGGGAGGCAGGCCTGGACTTGGGGTGACATGGTGGCTGCCTCCCAACGTCTGAGCTGCTGCCCCAGAGACGGGGTGTGGGGAGCTGGCTGGGCGCGGCA